TTTTTTTTTTGCTTGCGCAACACGACTCGTTTGATTCTTTTGATCGCCTTTGACTCCTAAATATTTCAACAATTTTCTTTTCATTTTTTTCCTTTAAATTTCCGTCAAATTTTGTTCAACGAATCATATAACGTAACATTTCAGCTCCAAAATGGGAAGATTCAACTGGCTAGGTCTAGTAAGTGCCATCGACCTAATTTCTTAACCAATTTTTTGCACTTCAATTTCACTCGAAGAATCATTTTCTTTTAATAGATGATTTTATATACCTGAATTTTGATGTGCAGTGTCGACGGCACTTGCTTTCAACTATGGCCGTGGAATCGGCGATTGAAAGAAGCGACGGGGTTAGGAAACTTTCTGCATTAGTCCAATCTTTAAATTGTGAAAGAGGTAATGCTCGTTTGTTCTAAAACCGATGCTTAGCTTAATTTTTTTTTATACACATTTCGAATAAGCTAATGATAAATTATCTTTTTTCGTGGAATAAGCTTTGCACAGTTGCAGTTTTGGTTTTGGGAAACCTTCTGATTTTACGGTCACTGGAATGCCGTTGAGAGAGCGTTATTTCCATGCAACCGGTTTTTTTTTTCATCTTTAAGATTTTCATTTTTTTTTGTTATAAATTCAATTTTGTGAAGTTTGAGGCCTTTTTCTAGGGCCATGCTGCTTTGCTAAACAAGACTACTATGAAATTCTTGGAGTACCGGAAAATGCTACTCGAGATGAAATTAAAAAGGCCTATCATGCTGTGAGTAGATTGATGTTGGCATTTGCATAGTCCAAAATAAATTTTTGACTTAATTTTATTGATTCATATGTATAAACCAAGTGGGATTTTTTTTGGTAATTTTTGGTTATGGAGCTTGCCAAGAAGTACCATCCTGATGCAAATAAGAAAAATCCTTCTGCAAAGAGGAAGTTCCAAGAGATAACGGATGCCTATGAGGTTTGTAGTTTCATAGTTGTTGGTTAATCCCAAGAATTTTGTCCTTTCTAATGAAAGTTAATAAATGCAAAAGTCTAATTTTGAACAATATTTTTTAATCTTGTAAAAATTTCCTTGTATAATTGTTCTGGTTAATTGCAGACTTTGCAAGATGCGAAGAAGAGGAGAGAATATGATAGGGTAATTAATACTCTTCCTCCCCTGTGCCTTTTGTTTTTCCTGGTTTGTTTTGCTGTTGCTTTTTGTTCTCCTCCAGCAAGTAAACCTGCAGTACATTTTTGTTACTTTTAGCTGTCACGAATTCTCGAGTTGGGACTTTCAAACTTTCTGCATTTCAATGTCGGTGGTTCTTGTTAGTGGTTTCTAAACTAATGAATTACTCTGAATCTTTCCACTGAAGACACGTGTTAGAAGTTCAGAAGACATGGAATTTGGTGCAGATGGTGCTCAAGGGTTCAGATTTTATGATGCAAGTGGTGCACAAGGGTTTCGATATTCTTATCAAACAAACTTCTCTGATTCTTTCTCTAAGATATTTTCTGAGGTATTCAGTGTTCCCTGTTTCTACTCTCTTCTCCGTGCAAGTGGTTGTCATAATTCCTAAAATGCTGAAACTTGATTTGTTGCAGATATTTCAAGACGAGATGGATCAATTTGCACCAGATATCCAGGTCAACACATTTTTCTCTCCCTAATTTTTCTACTGTTCATAACTTATATTTTCAAGTTAAAATATGTTCTCTTTGGAATTTTGTAGGCAGAGCTGTTGCTCTCTTTTTCTGAAGCTGCTAAAGGATGCACAAAGGATCTATGTTTTGATGCATTTGTTCCTTGTGATTCTTGCGGTAAGTGGAGCTAACATTTTGTTGGAATCAGGTTGTGTTCAAGAATCATACAAGCACCAATGTAGTCTACCACATGCGATAATCTTTCAACTTCTCAATTTATAATGTTTGTTCAAAATTTTGTATGTATTCACGTCGCTGTTAGAAGTCATGTTTTGTTTAATTTTTTGCAAATTTTTTCCAGCATCTTGTTGAATATATTTCTCTACACTTTCCATTTGTATGAAGTATTGGTTCCTTTCTTCTTTATAGATGATGTAGTTTTCTTATGCTTTCCTTATTGTGTAATGCAGATGGGCGTGGCTATCCACTTAATGCCAAAGTGAAAGTTTGTCCAACTTGCAGAGGCACAGGGACGGTAAGTGTTTTGACAATCTATTTTGATGGTGATTAGTAGATAAATCCTTCCTATAGGTCTCACTTTCTGAAAATAATGCCTGCTACCTTTTATTTATTAAACTGTATTAACTCTTAACCAGGTTACAATTCCTCCATTTACATCAACATGCAACACTTGTAAAGGATCAGGACAAAGAATCGAGGTCTGATGTGAATTTGGGCAAAATAGCCCCATCTTTCTTTTTACTTGTATGCCATGTTAACAAGGTTTTACACATATGATCCAGGAATACTGTCTGTCATGCGAAGGATCAGGGGTTGTTGAAGGTGTTAAAGAAGTTAAAGTTACAATACCTGCAGGTAGATATAAAATGCCTGTTTTTGATGAATCAATTTTTCATGTTCAGAAGGTTGAGGGGTAGCTTTGATTCTTACAGTTCATATAAGGAAAGTGGTTGCACATGGATTTCTGATATGGTCTAGCGTATTGCTATAAGATAATCTTTATAGCTATTTTCTTTTTGTCTAAGGTTGGCTTTTGCAGATCCTATCATATTATTTCTTTTTTTTTTTCTTTTTCGTTTTTGAGTGTTCAGTGCTTCCTAAGTAATACAGTTTTTGTTAATTAGACCTTCTCTATGACAAGTACTGCCATTAGTTTCTGCATATTCCATGGATCTAAGAATGTCAAACTAGTTTAGGATGGAACCTTCATTGCATAATTGGTCTTCCTTTATTTGGCACAAAGATATGATGCTTATTATAGTGGCATTAATTTTGTTGGTTCTACTTATTGTTATTCTCAAAAAATGGATTAGGTGTGGATTCTGGAGATACAATACGTATACCAGAAGCTGGTAATATCAGGCGACAAGGAAGTCAACCTGGTAACTTGTTCATTAAAATAAAGGTGCAGTTCCTTCTATTTCCTTATATCTTTATAAAGCTTACTTAAGGTCTGGTTGCTTAAGGTTAATTATGTGCAAGTGTAAATTCATATATGCATTTTTAATTTCTGGTCATGAGATTGCTCCTCAATATAATATGCATTTTAATATGGCTCTACATTTTGTTTGAGCTGACACATATGGGACACCTTTAGTTGAAACTAGAATAGGATGATTTTTGAACTTGATTTGAGGAGGCCGCCCAATAGGCTAGTACAGAAGTAAATAACTAAATACTATTTGCTGGTTGAGATATATGTATATTGTCCTTGCTTTCTGAACTTTGCTTTTGTAATATAGGTTGCAGATGATCCTGTCTTTGCTAGAGATGGTGCAGATGTTTATGTCAACTCTAATATTAGGTTTACTCAAGTAAGAATTTGTGCTTTGCGAAATATTTAGTGCACTTGTTTGTGTTCCATCTGGTTAAATCAGATGTGCAATTTCACCAACATTCAAAACTTTTGGTGCCGAACTCTTATTTTTCTCTATCAACTTCTATACGTTCTTTATTTCCTAAATGTCAATTGTCTTACCTTGATCTATTTTTAGGCTTATACTATATTATGTCTTATTATTAGTGAAGATATCTCAGTTGATTTCTAAGTGTGTACATACTTGCTACCTTTTTGAACTAAAGTTATGTTGTCTATCATACCCTGTTGAACAACTTTATAGATTTGCTTACAGAACCCAAATAATTCTATCAATAATTGATGTTTGGATCTCTTACAGGCAATTCTTGGTGGTAAAGTTGAGGTGCCTACCTTGTCGGGGAAGATTCAAGTGAAAGTAATACTGTTGTTTTTATGCTCCTTTTTTATATGTTTGTTGATTACGATCTGGTAGGAGTTACCGAATGGCAAAAGAAGATGTTTTTGTAAATTTTCTGGTGTTATAGGTAGGCTAGTTAAGCCAAATTAAGTACTGAATGTTTAAAGATAATTGGACATGACCCTCAGTCTTATCATGATTTGGACCCATTAATCTGTGAACCTGGCATGAATTATTCAGGTTGATATAGATACCTTGTCGATTAAAATTCATGCGATATTCTGTAATCTCATTCATTTTGGGCCCATTGTCTAGAGCCTCGTTATTTTTATTAATTTTTAACAATTGACATGCCTCAATGTATTTGACATTAACCATTTTGTGGTTTGAAATTATGGTGTCCTCAGATACCAAAAGGATGTCAACATGGAGAACTACTGGTTCTAAGAGGCAAAGGTATGTTTAATCATTCCCCCATACCGCCCTGCCTCCTTTCCTCATTTCTCCGTGCTGCTTGAATTTACTGTCTCGTGCATTTTCCTGCTATAAATGTGCTTTCTTTTTGATTTCCTGCAGGACTGCCAAAGCATGGTTTTATAGTACATCATGGAGATCAATATGTCCGCTTCCGTGTTAATTTGCCCACGTATGCTTCCTTTAGCTTATTTTGGTTTATATTATTGGTTATCTCTACATTTATGACTGATGACATGAAGATATATAGATCAGTTTGGAGAGCATTACACCAAAGATATTTCATTTGTTTGAAGTATACCTAATTGTCTTCCTCTTGGAATTGAGGCTTAGTTGAGTATATTATGCTTCTGGGCATTAGAAAAATTATCATGATACTAATTAAGTTGTTTTCTTCCTCTTTCCTCATAAAAAAGAAAGGTGATTTCTTCCTCAAATATATGTCCTGGTGAACTATTTACAGGATTTTGCATTCTTTTTACTATTATTTTTCCTCTCTCCTCTAACATGGGGTTGAAGTTGGACAGTCTGATCTTTTTAATTCAATATACTAGTTAATCAAAAGATAAACTGACAGCTAAATGTACTATACCAGTCAAAGTGTATTCGTGGAAATGGAAACTTTCTTCATAGTTGTCAAGTATAATTTCTCATTTTTGAGATCACCTGATACTTTTGAGACTAGGAGATGCTTTTACTGTCAACTGAAGTTTTTTCGATAAAATGTTAAGTAGGTATATGAGAGCTTGCTATAGCCAAGTATTAGACTTTATGAGGTGGAAGAACCAGTTCAAATTATAGCAGGCCTTTGCCGTGTCTGGGTCTTTTACACTTATAAACTATAGCCTCTGTTCTAACTCCTATGTGAATGGTGGTTTAAAATTTGGTCAACCCCTATCATTTTTATCTTGTCAATCCCTAGAGCATTCTGTTTTATGAGTTGTTGTTATTGTTGTTTTGAAATGTGAGTGTTCATCACCTTATCTTATTGTTGATACTGTATGAAAACTAAAAGATTTACATTTACACGGTGACCTGTTTGCCAAAACTGAGGTTATCTTTTCTTTATTGTAGACAAATGTTGGAATGATTATATGATTATTGCTTTTGAAGCCTGAGTTCTGTGCAATGTAGACTCTCTGAAAAAGCACATTTCCAAATATTTATTTTGTCATATTGTTCATCCTCCCTACCTCCTCTGCAGTGCGATAAATGACCGGCAACGTGCTATTTTAGAGGAACTTGCGAAGGAGGAAATTAATATTGAAAACAACAGCACTGTTGAAGGCAACTGGTAAGTGTACATCACAATATGCATGTTACCTGATAATTCCAGTTCTTTCAAACTCATTTACATCATTAATATGATGAGTTCAGATTTTGACACATCTGTTCTTGGCATAATACAATTATTTCCATGATATTAGCTGTTCATGAAATAGATGTTTGGCATCAACATGCACTAAAGGTGATAGCTGATCTTGTGATAGGGAATGTCATCATGTTCCTGATTTGTACTTTGTTAGATCTTCATTTCTGAGTAGATATTAAATTAGCTTTGGTTCAGAGCGGCTGGCTTGAATTCGATAGATTTGAAATTTATCTGGCATGCATCAGTTACCTTAATTTTTGTTGTGTAGCATTGGGTCCTTCGGTAATTATTCTGATTATAATGAAGACCCTGAAATGGACAACAGGCTTTATCAGCAGCTCTCTACTGGTTGAACTTACAGGTGGGAAACAATTCTTGAACAAGTGACGAGTCCTAAGTTTGTGATTGAGTTTTCTCTACTCCTGCTAATCCTTCTCATCCTGAAAAAGACAATGGGCTAAACTGACTCAAGGCAATGAAGACATGCACGCCAACTGAGGGTAAAGGAAATGCAACCCCCACCCCCCGGCCCCCTTCCCTCCCTCCATTTTTTAAGGGGGAAGGGTAAATTCTCTAACCAATAGTTCCATTTGTTACCAATTATTTGGGCATCAAAAGGAATGCCTCTTTTTTCTCACTTTTAGTACTCTAGCTGTTTACACATGATAGTTGTTGTATAGGGCTTGCTTTTCAACCACGCAATAAACGAAAAGGTACATTCGTTTTGCTAGCATCCATTTTCTTTTCCTTCAATTCTTCCATAGATATTAGTTTACTGAAAATAAAATGTAGCAATGCAGCGTACACATTGTTTAGTTATATAAATTGGAGGGTAGTCTTGTACTATGCTTTGCAACGTTGAAGCCACTTGATGGCATTATTATAGTCCACTGTATTCTAGATGTTGAAAGCTTTTCCCTCAAGGTTGGCTGGCCACCTGAATTTCATTGAGATTGTTGTTTCACAGGGATCTAAAGAGGCTTGATTTAGGGTTTGAGAAGTGGTTAGATGCTTTACAGGGATATTGCTGCTTTGGGGACAATTTTATTGGTTTATTTTTGTTGAATGCGTGTAGATATCCTGATTCCCCCTCCCCAATTCTTTTTTTTTTTTTTTTTTTGAGGAATTAAAGTATTTGAATGTTGAACTAAGCAAGCATTAGCCGAGAAACGTAGAGAGAATAATAGTATACAAATACTTGTATGTACATGTATATGTACATATGTATATATGAAAACATAAGACATACATGATGCATACATATGTAATTTTTTGAAGTTAAATTTGAAAATGACAAAGAAACTTTGAGAATTATATGTATCAATAGTTTTCGGTCTTTAAAAGCCGAAACAATAGAAAATCGAATTCTCACAAGAACATACAAAGGTCATTTCTTATCTAACGAGAATAAATTTCTCTCCTCTTTTGCAAATGTTTCGAGCAATATTCAAAGGTAATTATAGCTTGGATTTGCTCGGATCACCAATATTTCTAAACAGTTTCCAGACTATTGGGAACCGGTGGCATTTCTGTTTCAAGAGCTCGTTTCTTTTCCTTGGTCTGCTTTATTTCACCGTAGAAGTACGAAATGAATCCCCAGAGTGAGAGTGCAAGAGCTATACCTTTTTCTGCTTGAAATTTTTCTTTGAAGAAAATTACTGCCAGAATCTCCGTTACAGGTAATAGAACTGCAATCATAATACCCGATACCAAAGATGAAGCACAAAAGATTACTCCTATTGCTCCCAAGAAGAAACCCTGCCATATTATTGCACTCGAAATCGCGACAACATAATACTTTGTTTCGCCAAGCCCGAATTCCCTTGCTTCCCTTGGAATTGCCTGCAAAATATAATATATAGCATTTCATCCTATACTAGGTCAATATCTTTGTAGCTGCCGATCAGTATCATGGCTTTAATTTGCAATATAAAAAAGGAAATCTATAACTAATATATATAGAAGTGGGTTTGAGTTGTGCCTACCTTTTTGTCTCAAGAAATGGAAATTAATTAAACAATAATATACAGTAGATTTAAAAGCATCTCCATTAACTAGAGTTGGATACAGTTAATCATGAGATGGAATATGCTAAATTTGGGCCGGTAAAGAGCAAGAAAAGGAACCTTGAAATCGTTGTTAACCAGCATCCCAACGGTGCAAAACACAGTAGCAAACAAACACATCACCATCTGAATCTCCATCACAAGGGCGTAGCTGATTTCTTGCTTTGCCTTCTTGTACGTTAACTCCACCAGGGGCAAAACAAATCCATACAACACCGCTGCTGCAATAGTCATTAGGAACCCCAAAACGTATTCCTTGTTTGATTCATTCTCAGGCCGGTCACTGCTCGTATTCAGAGCTAGAACGCCTGCTCCTATGGTTAACAAAAACACAGCGTTTATGGAATAAGAAGTGAACTTTTGCTTCACCAAGAGGAAAGCAAACCCTGCTGTGAAAGCCAATTGCGCGGCGATGATTAAAGAAGAGGTTGAAACGGGGAGACGGGCCACGCCGTAGGCGTAGAGGTAGTCATCAAAGCCCGTAAGGATTCCGATGACCGCGGAGGCAATGAACAAGGGAGGTTTCATGAAGAAGAACTTGTTTCTTGATGTGGGTTGGGCCCTACGACGGTGCATGTAAGCACAGGCGATGGGGACAAGGATGATGGGCCAACCACCAGTTTCGAGCCAGCTCGAGAACCAGACTCGTTTCCCACCATGGATGAAGTAGAGGCGCATCATAAGTGGGCCGCCGCAGTTGCCTATGGCTAAGACGAAGCAGTTTATCACTAGGAGAGCTTTTCTCATGGTGGTGTTTGGTTCTGCTTCCTTGACCTCCATGATTAGCAGAGACAAAGCAGTGTAGACTGATGTATTCTCTACAGTATGAATGTATTTATAGAGAGCAAAGTCTGCTGTCCGTGTGCTTTACAGTAATACGAAAGCAGGTTTGTGTGTTCAAGTGTGTGACAAAAGCACAAGCTCAATTACATATATGTACCAAGATATAGAGATATGAGGGTGAGATAATCATATCAGCAAATCCAAAATCTAAAATTCAAAAAACCAATTATTTTTGCATTAAAATCTTAGTTAGAATTAGGGTTCTTTTCAAAAATACTTCTTATAAATAAGATGTTTTTTAAAATACTCTTTTTATAATTTTAATTATTTTTAGTTAAAAAAAATTACCTCAAATTGACTCATATCCTTTGGATTTTTCTTAAAGTATTTTGAGTATTTTAGAGTGGTTTTTGGTATACGAAGAAAAATCTTTGAGTATTTTAAGTATTTTGGAATAGTTTTTGATATATGAAGACAAACCTTTAAGCATTTTGAACATTTTTTGTTAAGTAAGTATATTCGTTGATCTTATTGTTAAATGAAATAGGGTGTGTTGTTTGAAATTGTTGATTTTGTTAAATAGAATTCAGTAGTTTTTGTTGGTTTTTGGACATTACCTAACTAGTTTTTGAATATTGCATAATTGGTTGATAAGCATAGCGTAACTAGTTGATAAACATTACGTGACTAATTAGTAATACATTATATGACTAGTTTGTAGACATTGTGTCACTTAGACATTGTCTAAAAATAGTCACTCAATGCCTACAACCTAATCATGCAATGTCTAAAAACTAGTCACATAAGATTTAACAACTAAAGACATAATAATTAAGTCATTAATGCTTAAAACTTAGTATCATATGATACTAAAAAATCAGTGACACAATGTCTAAAAACTAATGACATAATGTTTAAAAATCAATAATGTGATACTTAATAACTAATTGATTTGCTTAATCTTAATCAAGTTTAAATTGCCAAAGTTATACAGTGTTTTAATTTATAAATATGTCTAATCAATTTTAATCTCTTAACTTTGGAGATATATGAATATAAACTAATAAACCTAATAACCTAAAGCAAATACCTTGATGTCATCTCTACTCTTTGGAATAATGAAAAAGAGTTGGATGACGATAGATGATGATATAGACAGTATTTGACAAGAGAGAGAAATCGACATTTAATTTTAGAGTTTTTATTTAGATGACGAGATAGAGAAAACTGAAATTATTTTAATTTGTCTGAAATTGTTTAAAGGGCATTGTGGTCAAGTCATGCCAAAAATAAACTAAAAATAATTAAAATTATAATAAATGATATTTCTGAATTGGGTTTATAAAGAAGGTAATTTCTCACAATTTTTTGTTAAAATTATATCTTGCAAGATGTAACTACTAGTACTTCAATTTTTTTATTTCATAATACAAAAGCTAATCAAATTTAGCAAGAAAAAACGAACATTACATTTAAATGATTAGCATCAATAATATGTCAATCTAAACATATTTGATTCGAAAAATTAAGTTTTATTTATTTATTTTATTCAACAACTATGCAAGAAGGAAAAATCATTTCTCTTTTTTCTTTTTTTTTTCATTTTTACACCCATCGAATTAATTAGTTATGGAGAAAAAGTATGTGTTCTAATATAAATTAGAAAAATTTTTAGCCGTATATATAATTAATTCCCTAAGTTTTCGTTTTAATTGCTTATAGAAATAGAAAATAAAAATGGAGCAAGATGGAATAGCAAGCTACATTTATTTTCGTCTTTATCAAGGAGTTAATACATTGATGTTAGGGTAGCTAAGAGAAGGATTGAGTTTTGCGGGCATTTTCATGTTGTGGCCAAAATCATATGATAAAGTTCCCAATGCTGTGGCCGTCAACTCATTTCTCTTGACTTTAGTTTCCACCAAGATAATTGCCAGTCCGCCTAAGATACTCTCAATAATTGAAGATAAAGACAAGGAGTAAAATTTCTTCACTGTCATGAGTCATGACCCACACCTGCAAACGGCGGTCGACTTGACCTACTAATATTTTTAAATAATCATATGATAATATATATATATATATATATTACATATATAATCATCTATATCAATATCCATCTTAATTACCAAGTTTTAGGGGAAGAAAAAAATCCCATCCGACGAATCGGTGTTGTACTGTCTTAAATATTAGTAAAAAAATAATCATTTTGGATGAAATATTTTATCGAAAAGATCTTATTTTATAATTTATTTCGATATTATCAAAGATAAATACATACGTGACAGTTATAAATTTATAATATGAACGGATATTCTGTCTTTTATATGTGTATTTGTTACATTAATTAAGAATACTTTACTATCTATGGGCATCCAAACTTGACCGTTGAAACATTCTGGAGTGAAGACAAGAAGAAAGTAGCGTATAAGTCCACTTCTCATCTTAAGATTTGAAAGGTCCAATAGAAGGATGAGGGAAGCTTTTGATTTTTTTCTTTTTTTGTCAAAGAAGCTGTAGGCAAACACCTACTCCCTTTCTTTTGCACATTAACGAGAACGGAAAAATCCATGGGTTTGAAAGATCTAATGTATCTTCCAAATCTCAATTGATTATGCAAACCTTTCATCAATATTAACAATATAAGTTAATGGAAACGGCAAAGGTGGAAGCATTTTAGATGATACTAGTAACAATTTGAGTCCAAGCATTATCAATCCGTTAATTTTAAAATCTAAATTATTAATGATTTATTTAAATTTTTATATATATCTTAATAATTACATTTATATCCGAATATGAAATAAAATATCACGAGACAGTATTAAATAAATATTTTTATTAATAAATACTTGTAAAATATAAAATTTAAATTAAAGGTTAATTATTGATCAGTTTCGTCTTATTTTAATATACTATATATATAATTGCAAGCAAGCAAATTGATTAACATTGATAAGACAGGTTGACAAGTCTTAAAACTATACCGACATCCTTCCTCTTTTTTCATGATTTTAATGTTAATTTGACCCAAACAAA